TGAAAAATTATTTTCAAAAATGACTTCGAAGCTCTGTAACTTTAGTATTCATCAAGTAAACTAAACACACAAAGTTAGACAATTCAATATTCTATATAACTTTTTTTGCTGAATCTTTTGCTGAATAGATATCCTGAGATCTGATTTGTCCCGAACCCACCATTTCCCATTGGTTTACATGGGAATGACGATTTTCAAAAAATCATCGAATTTATCATCAATTTTCGACCTATTGTAATTGAGGGAAAAAAATTGGAAAATTTGGAGGTATTGGAAATAAAGGCAAGTTTCGTTTTTATCAATATTATAAGTTATTACAAACATATTGTTACTGGATTTTTACCGGGGAACAATATCACCAAATTTAAGAAAATCATAATAACAATTCTTGGCATAACAATTTATAAAAATTGGTGCAATTTTTCTTAAGATCTTGAGAGTTGGGAAAGATTTCAATTGATATAAAAACAGCCTTTGTTACAAATTTACATTTTTATTCCATGTCATAGAAAGGGAAACTATTTTAGCATTGTCGATTAAAAATGCAATCAAAAAGTTTTAATTCAATATGCCTGTATTTTTGATTGATTGTAATTTTGATTTTTGTACTGTTGTATTCACATTTATTTGAACTCATATATTGTATGTAATATAACACTTTAACACGTAGTTCAATGATGGCCTAAGGTTGCCAAAGTTATGCGTTAAAGCAAAATGTAAAATAAGTCAAATAACATCAGAAATGTAAAAGCATGACGTTTCATCAATAATGTTGTTTTCTATATGAATTGTGTCCCTTTAGCAACATTGTAAAAAGAAAGAAGAAACATAAAACAAGTGATTTAATTAACACGTATTTTCCATTGGGCGTTAAACCTAAAGTTACATTCGGCGTCACTTGTCGACAGCAAAGCAAATGTTGCAAAAATACACATTTTGAAAAGTTTTGATGAGAGGTTTGTTTGCTAACCTTTTTGAAATGTAACTTTTGAATATCAATATTTAAGGTGATTGAATTGATTAGCAGTCACTAATGGGAGGTGGTAGCATACTGTATACATTAAATGTAATTTTCCCAAAATCATCATCAATTGCAAATAAGCCGATAATATATATATATATATCTTGTATTGACTCTTAGAATGTCATAGTATGACATATTAGTCAGTACAAAAATAAAATAAAAACTTACTACACTACACTACATTACACTACACTACACTATTATTATACAAATACAATATATACAAAAACATGTTATTAACATGTATTTAACTATACATAATACTTAAAGCAGTGTGATGCATCCAGAATGTTCTTCAGACAAGTTCAATGACCTTGAATGCTTTATTTATAAAAATGCCAACTTGCTTTTGGACATATTTATCTTTTGAGGACATTAACATTATGAATGCATTTTCAGGATGGTATTTATCAAATTTAATTTTGCTGTTGATGTTCTCGAACAATAGTTTTCTATTTTCTTGATGTATTTGGCAATTTATCATGAAATGAATTTCATTGTCTATTTCTCCACAAACGTTACACGTTCTTTCATGTTCAGGTTTTGGCCGTGGTTTCACATGTCTACCCAGTTCTATTTGAAGTTTATGAGAACTTAACCTTAATCGGGTAAAGGATTGCCTATGATTTTTGTTTTGAAGGCTTAAATATTGCTCCAATTCAAAAGTTGTCTTAAATTTAACATATGTTCTCAGAACTGGATATAATTGTAAATCACACTTCCATTTGTCCTTATAATTTTGGAGCAATGTCTTAGTTAAAACATTTATAAATGTGAAATCATCTTCAACAATTTGTTCATTCCAGTTAAAAAGAAGATTGCAATCTTTTAAAATGTTATAAACTTTACTTGACCATGTATTTTTAAAACCCAGACTGTGCATTTCATAATCATAATGATATGATTTATAAAGGATGTTGTCTGGACACAATTTTATAAGCCTTATCCAATATTTAATAAGTTGAATATCAAAACATAGACTCAAAGGGAAACGACCCAGCTCTCCATAAACTGCTAGTGTTGCAGTTGATGTTTTCACACCAAGAATGTTTTTCAAAAAGGAAAGATGGATAGTTTCAATTGTCTTAATATGTTTTTTACTTGTCCATATTTCTGAACCATACATCAGAATTGGTTGGATAAGTGAATCAAATAAATGTAATGCAACAGATATAGGAATGTCATTAAACTTATGGTGTTGTTGCTTTATTTTAAATAGAGCTTTTCTGGATTTTTCTTTAAGATAGCTTATTTGCTTATCAAAATTACTATTCCTGTTAAAAATACACCCTAGATATTTGTAATCTTCAACACATTCAATCACTTCGTTATTGAATTTAAAAGTTTCCTCTGATTTAGAGTTAAAGATAATAGCCTTTGTTTTAACAGTGTTGACAACAAGATGATATTTTCGACAAAAATCAAAGAGAGAGTCTAGCATTGATTGAGCACCAGTTTTAGAGTTAGCTATTAATATTAAGTCATCTGCCCAGATTAAATGATTAAGAGAAACACCTTCAAACTCTACACCATATTCAGATGGAAGATAATCTTTCAAGTCATCCAAAAAATGGTTGAAAAGATATGTACTGAGTAAAGAGCCCTGCATAACACCAATTTCAGTCTTATAGGTTGGCGTGATGCCATCTTTAAGTTTGAGGCAAGATTTTGACTTTTGGTACATGCTGTCAATAATCTTAAACATTTTTGAACTCGGTTGAATACCTGACTTACATAATTTATAAAGAAGTGCTGTCCTGTTGACATAATCAAATGCCTTCCTAAAATCTATCATTATACAAAATAAAGGCTTTTTCTGCCTCTTAAAATGTGAAATGATTGTATTTAAAATAAACAAATTGTCTGTCGTACGATGCCCAGATTTGTAGGCCCCTTGTAAAGGATCCTGTATATTAAACATTTCAGCATTAAAGACAAGTCTTGTTTGTATGATTGTGTCAAAAACATTGCCTAGGCAAGCAAGAACATTTATTCCCCTATAATTATCTGGATTGAAACGTGATCCTTGTTTATAAAGAGTGGAAAGCATACCGATACTCCATTCATCTGGATAATCTCCTTTATCAAATATAAAATTAAAAAGTGCAGTAAAATCTAAAGCTAGGTCCTTACAATTTTTGATAATATTGGAAGGTAGACCATCTATACCTGGCGATTTGTTTGCATTAATCTTATTCAAAGCATTAAACACTTCTTTTTCATGTATAACATGGTTAAGTAGATGGTTACTAACTTCTAATTCATGTGTATATGGATGATTCGAATTATATTCTAATATAAAGGTTTTCATTTCTTTTAAAGCTTCATAATCAAAGAAGTCATAAGTCGGTGCTTCACCGAGCTTTTTAAAACTATCAAAAAGTACTGGAGTTGTAATGGGTATATCTCTGACATCATTTTTACCTGGAATAGAGTGCACCATTTTCCAGAATGCAGTAGGATTATGAGCCTTAAAGGTTAACAGTGAATTCAACAAGTTAGCTTGATATGCCCGTTTTTCTCTTTGCTTTGTTTGATTATATTTTTTCTGAAGGTTTGAAATTGCTAAATCAGAAGAATTTTGCTTGATTGCATTATGTAATTCTTTTTTTAATATTTTGCACTCCTTATTAAACCAGGGATTAACTGGAAATTTCTTTTTAGGCCTTTTGAGCTGCTTCAATTTCAAAGTGCTTTCAGATGCATGATAGATTACATGTTTAAGAACCTGCAACAAGCTATTTGAATCAATATTTTGTCCCATTTTACAATAAAAATCATCTAGGATATTATTGCTAATATTGTCATGAAGAATATCAATAAATTTATATTTTTCTTTGGGGTCCCATTTAAAATATGAATAAGGTAAACTGTTAATATTAACATTTTTATCCGACTTGGTAGCACTCTTTGAATTATTATGCTTTGAATGAATATTAAGGCTAAAATGAATTGGTGCATGGTCAGAATCAGGATGTCTGTCATGAACCTTAAAATCTGAGAAAAATGTCGTTTTGTTCCTGATATCTGTAAAAAGTGAATTTTCCAATATCTTTATCTTGAAAAAGTCTACCATTTACAATTCTTAAATCAGATGATTTACATAGACTGATAAGTTCACGACCATGAGTTTGATATACAGCCTTCATATTTTTATCCTTTGAGACCCTTTTAGGAAAACCTTCGTATGAGATATCTTGATCAATAAAATTATATGGGGTAAGATTTTCATCTGATCCACATACGACAGTACTACAGTCAAATAATTCTGCTGTTCGAGCATTCATATCTCCAACAATAATAGTATTCCCTAACAACTGGTATAATGCTATCGATTTTTCTAGAATTTCCATATTATCTACATGTTCAAATTTTGAACCTTTATGCGGCATATATACAAAACAGATATAAATATCTTTTTCTAAATTGTAAAATGATGATTTGAGCTTTAACCAAACAAAGAAGTCTTGTGTTTGTTTAATTAATTCAACACCAGTTTTAAACAATTCATCCTTTATAAGAACAGCTAAACCACCTGAATACCCATTTGAGTTTGCATTTTTAGACTGACGAGCAAGATTATATACAGTAAAACCATCTAAAATAAATGTTTCAAGTGGGTCTAGCCAGGTTTCACATAATAATACAATTGAATATTTGCTAAAAAGCTCTTGAATGTCACACCCGTTATATAATTTATCAGATAACCGGTTAATATTCCACATAAGGCATTTTAAATCAGTTGGATTATGATCATTAGTGAGTAATGAAACACTTTCAGATTCTGATAACTTGCTTGATCCATGTATTGGATCATTCTCATAATTGCTAAATTCATTGTTACTTGAAATAGTAGCATCAATATTATCATGGTTAATTTCAGAGTTATTATCATTTTTGTTACTATATGTACAATCTCTATAGAGCACCTTACTATGTACAGTTAAACCTTCACATGAAACACTGACATCATTGATGTCTTTACTCAGGCTTGAATGAGCACCATCATCATAACTAGTCATATTATATGTGCATCTGCTATCATGATTCCAGGATGCATCACACTCGGTGTCTATAACTTGTATTGGGTTGGCTGGTAGGTAGGGTGTCTACTTGAGACAATGCTGGCATATGTCTTAGGTGTGTCACTATTGATGCATTTTAGCATGGCCATCACAAGAGAATTGCGACCTTTTATGTTAAAATGGAGTCCATCTCTATTAAGAACATCAAAGTTTGGTCTTCCAGCAGTTGAGTTATTGACTTGATTGATGTCTATGAATCCAATTCCTTCATTCCTACAGAAAATCTTCATCTGGCTGTTGATATGATCAATGTCAGAGTTCATATTGTATATGTCCTCACTAGAGTCTGAATCCTGTCTATGGTGTAGCCCTGCCATGATCAATTTTGAACTAGGATGATGCGTTCTTGCCGTTTGAGCCAGGTGTTTTAGACTACAGATTATATCATCTGGTGAGTCTATTTTGATATTATTAGTCCCCAATCCAATTATTTTATAGTCAGTTGACTGTTTGATATCACCTCTCATGATAGACTGAGTTCCGTGTTCAATTCTACCACCACTGTAGACTGAGGAGGTTACATTCATATGTGATGCCTTGCGCATCATGATACCAGCTAATCCTCTACCATTGGATGAATACATTATGTGTACAGTTGTCTTTGACTTGAGCGATTCTGGCATATCATGTGGCATGGATGAAGAGCGTGGTGTAGACATATCATGTGATACAGACGCAGGCATAGACTGTGGCGCAGGCATAGATTTGGCAGATTGAGGAGGTTGAGTTTTAGTGTGTAATTTGCGTCTGGGAACTGGGGTAGGCTTATATGAGTCAGGTTTTGACGAATTTGGTGATTCAACAAGACTCTGAGGTTGAGAGATATTATGTTCACTGCCTAACATTGATGCTAATTGCTGATTTCTGCGATAAGTGGTGTCAAGATCCGCTTTCAGTCCTTTATATTCTTTTTCACTGCGTCTTATTTTTCCCTTCAAATTGCAGATTTCAGACTCTAAGTCTTCAAGTTTGGCATTTTGAAGTATTTGCTGGGCCTTGAGCTCATCTGCCCTCTGTTGATCATTTACTTGAATTCGCTTGAGGAGGTCATTTATTTTGGCTGATTGTTCATTGATAAGTTTTCTGTCATTCAGATACTTTTCATTTTTGTTCATCAGTTGGGTGATTTTATTTCGGAGTTTATTATTTTCACATTTCAACTGTTCATTTTCTTCCATTATGGCAGTGTCAAGTTTGGCATGTTGTGATAATTCAGTTACATCAGAAAAAACATTATCAAGGATTGTATCAAGTGAGGGTTCCTGGGTATTGATATTTGCCTTCTGATCATCAGCCTCATTTGCTGTGGAACCTTGGGGAGATCCTTTGGGTAAGGAGGGATCTTGGCTTGGGGGTATTCCAGAGGATGGTATATCATCAGGTGGTGGCGAAGGTCCTTCAGGTGAATGAGATCCATCATTTGAAGTAGTTTGAAAGAAGATAAGGCTATCTTCAGCAATATCAGTAGAGGGATCAGATCCCTTAGTCAGCATTTCTGGATGCAGAAATGTAATCACTCTTCCATCTGGATCTGTTGCTTCAGAGTGTGTTGTAGCCATATCTGTAAAATCAGATGTATTGGCTTGACTGGGTACTGCAGCCCCACTAAGAGGGGTAGAGGTAAGGGAGGGACACCTGTCAATGTGGACTATGGTGTCTTTTACCAATGGAAAGTCATTCGCTTTCCAATCCTCAAGTCCTTCTCCATGTATGGATATCACTCCTGAATCATTTATATTGATAATAACATGGTCAGAAATATTGATAACATGTCCATGTTGAACTCTAGTAGATATTGCTTTCATTGATTTATTCCTGTAGAATGCCTCGAAAGCATCAATCCAAGTTAGTATTCTCTCCGTGAAAAACTCAACACTTTTGCATTCATCTGTAAGTTCTAGAATACCTGTATCATCTATGTCACTGAAATGGTAGTTGTCATGAAGAATTTCTGGTTTGCCTTTCAGCTTTTTCATATTTTGTTTTCTATTGTTTCTCCTCTTATTTCCCTTTAGGTCAGGCGATGTAAAGGTAACTGGTGTACCTTGTGACAAGAGTGTACGGGTTCTGCGGGGGCGATCTTTTATTGTCATAATCCTTTCTCAGTTTTGGCACAGTTATATAATGTTGATATACTGTATTGGTGATAAATCCTCCTAATGTACATGTAATTGATAATCTACTAATTATATTGTCATTTGTTATGGCTCTCCTTATGTTATTGTTTACATGTGCTAATTAACCACTGTTCATCTTGTACTTCACAGAAACAGGTATAAGAATGAAGTTCAAGGCTGTTCCTTTTTACTCCCTTTAAATTTTCAGACTTATTAAAACATTTAAATTGATTCTCAATGTGTTAATAAAACTATATTTAAATCCATTTGTATTTCCTAAAGAGAAAACAATTTACTCCAATCTCTGTGGTATAATGTAGTCTTACTGTCTACAGTATCAAAAGTTTAATCCATAGGTTTTAATCCAGTCCAAAATGTCCAGTTTTCAAAATCCTTTGTTTGAAAATACTAACTTTAACATCCAAATATATCTGTTGATAATGCTCAGAATGTTCTTTAAAAACTCCTAAACTGTGCAGACAATGTTTATATTTAATGTGATTACAATTAAAGTGTATAGAAGATCCTAAAAACACTTTAAAATCCTCATAATGTGAAGAGCAATTATGAAACAATTTATCTGTCGGCATGTTTTTCTTTTCATATTACTATAGCATAGATGCAAAGAGAGAGACAGATGCAAACGTGTGCTTGTATATAGGGTAACCCGAATTTTCATCGCTTAGTCATTTAACATTGGTTCAGTCATATTTTGCACATATATTCCTTGTTAAGGCTACATTGTTTGGCCCAGCCTGTATATATACACATTTGTATTCTAAGCACATGTTTAAACAAAAATACAATCATAGTGCTTTCGAAGTTTTAGCTGCATTCATGTTACCTGTCCTGTATTCAGTTGTGATGATATGTTACCTTAGAATTTAAAGATAAAACGCAAGTGATGATGTCTTCATCTCTGGATCTTCATTTCATCTCCGCGCTGTTATCCCAGTGCGGACAGACAGATAACACCTGAATTTACCTAAATTGGAAGTACACTGTTAACCCAGTGTGAACAGACAGATCAGACCTTAATTGGCATGAATTGACTGTACACTGTTATCCCAGTGTGGACAGACAGATCACACCTGAATTGACCTGAATTGCCTGTACACTATTAACCCAGTGTGGACAGACAGATCATACCTGAATTCGCCTATATTGACTATTCACTGTTATCCCAGTGTGAACAGACAGATCAGAATGAATTGACTGTACACTGTTATCCCAATGTGAACAGACAGATCATACCTGAATTGGCATGAATTGACTGTACACTGTTATCCCAGTGTGGACAGACAGATCACACCTGAATTGACCTGAATTGCCTGTACACTATTAACCCAGTGTGGACAGACAGATCATACCTGAATTCGCCTATATTGACTATTCACTGTTATCCCAGTGTGAACAGACAGATCAGAATGAATTGACTGTACACTGTTATCCCAATGTGAACAGACAGATCATACCTGAATTCACCAGAATTGACTGTACACTGTTATCCCAATGTGAACAGACAGATCACACCTGAATTGACCTGAATTGCCTGTACACTATTAACCCAGTGTGGACAGACAGATCATACCTGAATTCGCCTATATTGACTATTCACTGTTATCCCAGTGTGAACAGACAGATCAGAATGAATTGACTGTACACTGTTATCCCAATGTGAACAGACAGATCATACCTGAATTCACCAGAATTGACTGTACACTGTTATCCCAATGTGAACAGACAGATCATGCCTGAATTCACCTGAATTGACTTTGCACTGTTATCCCAGTGTGAACAGACAGATCATACCTGAATTCACCAGAATTGACTGTACACTGTTATCCCAATGTGAACAGACAGATCATGCCTGAATTCACCTGAATTGACTGTACACTGTTATCCCAATGTGAACAGACAGATCATGCCTGAATTCACCTGAATTGACTGTACAGTGTTATCTCAGTGTGAAAAGATAGATCAGACCTGAATTGACCTGGATTGACTGTACACTGTTATCCCAGTGTGGACAGACAGATCACATCTCAGAATAGACCTGAATTGAAATTACACTGTTATTCCAGTGTGAACAGACATATCACACCTGAATTGACTGTACACTGTTATCTCAGTGTGAAAAGACAGATCAGACCTGAATTGACCTGGATTGACTGTACACTGTTATCCCTGTGTGGACAGACAGATCTCACCTGAATTGACCTAAATTGGAAGTACGCTGTTCACCCAGTGTGGACAGACAGATCATACCTGAATTCACCTTAATTGACTGTGCACTGTTATATTCCAGTGTGAATGCAGTTCGAACAATTATTTGTAAAAAAGATATCACTACTGTTATATTTCTATTGAAAGTATACTTTCATGTTCTTATTTTATCAACACATTAGAATACAGAGGTGCATTTAGAAAAAAGTAAGCTTGGGGTTGGGACTTGAAATCAGAAAAGGAAATAAAGGAACGGCAAGATATAATCAGCTCCTAATACATCTTCGACCCTCCCATGTCGGGCACATTATTGTCACTCAGCATGTGGCTCGGATACGTTGGTTTCTTACGTATCTTAGGTCGACCGATCAATACCTACAATTTAAAGGTTTGTATTATAACAGGGTTTCACTTTACACCCCTGATTCAGCCAGGGCACTTGGAACATACAAAATATGTATGTCCTAAGTAGTCTGGCTGAATGACGGGTGCAATGTGAAAGCCCTGTAGCATTACACAAGACATTAACATGACAACATGTCACCACTGTTTGAAGGTCAAATCTAAAGTAAGATTTATAGCAAGTTAAATAACGATTTTTTACCTTGGAAGGTCATTGAAGGTAAAACTCATATTTATACCTTTTTTACCTTCAATATCTCAAAATTCAGGCAAAATTTGTGAAGACGGAAAAATGCTCACACTTTGACATTTTACCTTGAAAATCTTACTTTTTTACCTCGGTAAGCACTCTCTGATTACGCTGACTTATTTCGATCCAAAAACAACACTTTGTGTCAATATAAGTCAACCAAATGTAAAATATCATATCCAAAGACAGATTTGAACTTGTATATGCTTATATATTTTTAGACAGAATTGGTCAACTTGAAGCAATTGAAATAATACCTTTTGGATCATTTTTGACCCTGAAAAAATCATTGAAGGTCAAAGCTTATATCTTAAGTCAAATTTTTAAAAAAATAGCTTTTTGACCTTAATAAGGTCAATGAAGGTCAAATCCAAAGTCAGGTTCGAACTTCTTATCGCTTGAGGATGATTTTGAAAAAAATGTCAATTTGATCAGCAAGTTTGAATATACCTTTTTGACCTTGGCAAGGTCATTAGTGGTCAAATATTAAATCTAAAGTCAGATTTGAACTTCTGAAAATTTGTGAATTCGAAAAGTCAGTCTTAACAGTACATCTCAAGTTATTGGAAGTTAACAATTTGTTTAGGAGGCTTAACTCCAAACGCAAATTGCCGACCACCAGCCACCGTTACAAAAAAGTGGAGGCAATAACAGTGTTAGAATGACGTATTCGGTGATTCTCTTTATTCTTTCACATTTCTTTATCAATAATAAGAAAGTGTACATGGATTCCTCAGTGCATTTTAAAAATATCAATCTAACAGTTATGGAATGAAATGTGTGAATTACTAGTTCGATATCAAGCATAATAACAGACAATGATCGAATCAAAAATTTAAGAAAATATTTTTATGGAGCAAATCAAGTAATTCAGTATGGATTAGACATATCAGAAATATTCTTATATTAGTAGATTTGGAACAGGATTTTATTGATGAACAAGTTGTCAACCTTAAACTGTTAGAATTATTTTTAACTATGCACCTGCATGGGAAGTAACAATGAAGGCTAAGCCGAAATTGTGCACTTATGTAACATTTAAAAAATGTATGAAGTAGATAAGTATCTAATCATTGAATTTTTCAAAATTTGAGCGAAGTCTAGCAGCTCAGTTTAGACTAGGTATTTGCAACTTAGGCTAGAGACAGGCAGATTTACATTTTCTATTCCATTGCAATAGAAATGATGATTTGAGAAAAACATACTTTGATGAGGTAAATTTTAAAGATTTGGATTATGAAGGTAGCAAAATTGTTAAGTTTACACATACGTTGACTACTAAGGCTATCACGTACAAGCACAAACCCAATGTATTTTTGGAATCTTGTAACCATGTCAACTTATAAAATGGGACTTAAAAACCTATTCATTCTGAAAGAGTATATCATATGCTTTAAAATGATATATAATACCATATATGCATGCCCATGTATATACAATATATATTATTTCAGAGGTACCGTATATGGCAATTTTCAAAACATCGTCAGTATTATAGTGCTTTTTCCCCAGTATTGAATGAGTTAAGATTGGTTTTGTGCGGAGAAGGCAATTCATTTACAACAAGTAATATTGATTTTCGTGTATTATTTTGTGTTTCCTATTGTTAACAGTGGTTTATAAGCCCGAGGTTTGCTGGGAAAAATTGTAATTTATTTTTTATATTTTATTATTGAATTGTAAGACTGACCACTTAAAATAAATAAATAAACTAAACTAAACTAATAATTCGAAAATACAAATCGACTTACTATAACATCTAATAACTCACGTGTTGGTTACTTGTAACATTGTTCAGTTCAGCCATTGGCGAGCTGTCATATATATCATTATCGTACATCCCATAGAGAGACTGGAATGATTGCTTGTTTTCTTGGAAACCAAGGGGACGTGATCCATACAACAAGAGATCTTTTCGATTATCAGAACCTGACAACCAATCCTAGCAAGGTTATAAATGTGATATTAAATTCAATACCACACAATGTTATACAATAGTTCTGCATATAAAATAATGCCAATTAATATAATATTAATTAATATATAATAGTGTTTCCCGTTCTTTCATATGAACGATACTGTAAATGATTTTGCTATAAGTACCTTCCCATTGGAAGCTGAACCATAAACTTGTTCATTTCCCATATATCTTCCCTGTAAAGACTTTGCTGGTATTCTTGGAGGAACTATGGGAGTCTGACGAATGTTTTTTGATTTCTCCGGTTCATTATTATAGTCATATAAGGCATTGTTATACCCCAAATGAGGCAGCATCCTAAAAATCGCCACAGAAGAACTATTAACTATAAAAGGTAAAACTTCAACTGTCGATCGAGTTTTTTCAGATTTTCTTGAAAAAATCTTGGTTAAACATATATAATATCAAAATATATTTACTAGCAAAATGTGTGAAAATTAAAAAGATTGACCGTCTTTGTTATTTCGAGAAAAATATTCTCACATGGGTTTAATGAAAATGCATTTTTTAAATAAAAAGAATCATAATTGCCAAAAATGTCTTGATAGATCAACATGCGAGTGTCATTTAGAAATCGTTATTCCACAGCATTCCTATCCGTAATGCGCCTTATATTGCCGGAAAATGTGTTTACTGTTAAAATAAAAACTATACATCCGACAGAAGTGTAATGACAGCATATACAGGGTGTCCAATAAATAAGGTGAAAGATATTGTAACTTTCTTTATATTGCACCAATCTTGATGAAATTTTCAGAGTTTGTAGCCCAAACCTTTTCACCTTTATTCTGTGAATTTAAAGCGTCTTCTATTTGATTGGCCAGAGTTGTGGTTGCTATAGTAACTGAAACAACAAAAAGGCGGGGCAAGTTTGGTTACGTCACAACTTTCCAAAATATATTTATTCTTTCTTATAGCTTTATTCATACTCCCAGGTGTATTCCTACCACAAATACAACATAAAAAAGTCCTAAAGTCCCATTGTTATGAAAATAAGCTATTCAACATAATGTCCATCTCTAGCTATATACTTCTTATGCCTATTCGTCCACTCTCTAAACACACTTTCAAACCCATTCTTGCGCATTTCCTGAAGTCTTGCTAAGACATGTGATCTGAGTTCACACACAGCTATGCTCACTAGTGAAGCTATTAGGGCACTGGGGCTACCCCTACGTGCACACCCTCCATATTCCCCAGACCTTGCACCACATGACTTTTATTTATATGCAGAACTCAAGTGTGACTTGAGAGAAAATAGATTTGGAAGGAATGATGAACTCAGATCACATGTCTTAGCAAGACTTCAGGAAATGGGCAAGAATGGGTTTGAAAGTGTGTTTAGAGATTGGTTGAATAGGCATAAGAAGTGTATAGTTAGAGATGGACATTATGTTTAATAGCTTATTTTCATAATAATGGGACTTTAGGACTGTTTTTATATTGTATTTGTGGTAGGAATAGACCTGGGAGTATGAATAAAGCTATAAGAAAGAATAAATATGTTTTGGAAAGTTGTGACGTAAACAAACTTGCCCCGCCCTTTTGTTGTTTCGGTTGCTATAGCAACCACAACTCTGACCAATCACATAGAAGACGCTTTAAATTCACAGAATAAAAGGTAAAAAGGTTTGGGCTACAAACTCTGAGAGTTTCATCAAGATCGGTGCAATATTAAGAAAGTTACAATATCTTTCACCTTATTTATTGGACACCCTGTAAACTAGTATTTGTGGACATTTGTTGTACAAACTAAAACCGAACTGATCTCAGAAAAGTAATTTGAATCGTGGGAATGAAGTAAAAACCGAACCTCACGCAGATTGCCCCGACTCGTTTCTTGGACATACGAACGATGCCATTTTTATCATAACTTATAACACTCAAATTATTTGAATATAAATATTGAATATATAAATGCTATGATGCTTTACGGTAGTTTTTGTCTGTATCGAGTGTCAGGTGTCGGAGTCAGCGAGTTTGACGCTCCCCTATTAAGCAGTATAAAATAATTTGCCACATTGGTGACAAATCGTATCCAGATTCCTGTTGAATGTCGAGTCGTTCATCACACGAATGAAATTTTAGGCGATGTGCCTGCATGAGGTGAAATTATTTGAATTTGAAAACTTGAACGACATGTTGAAATGCTCATATGTGAATATTATATTATTTTGCTGGGTTTTACATCATTATGTATTATCATTATTTTCAAGTATTGCATCAATACGATTTACGAGTAAATCAATTTGCATTACATGTGACAAAACATTTGTGCTTCTTGTCAGTGGAAATTAAGATTGGTTGATATACATTTCTTCTGTGTGGAAATGTTTTGTCTTGCGTAAGAAGACTCTTAGCAGAATATTCATTTAATTGCAACTAAAATCTCGACCTCATGCAATATAATAATGTAGTAATCTTTTAACTGGAAATGTGCTTAAACCGTTCACCGAGTGTGTGTGTTTAGACAACTATATTTCCATGTTTTCACTTACGTTCCAGTGTTGTGGATGTGGATATCACCCGTTCTATTATTTTTTCCACGACATACCAAGCATGCACACACCATCACCATTGCGAGGACCAAGATAAAAACAATGGCAGTTGTGACAGCAAAGAACGTCTGCCTATGGGGACACCAGTTGTTAAAGATCACTATAAATTCTGGCTCAACGCATTTCTGTTCTCCCCCTGCTCCACTTGAAGTGCTTATAGCAACAGTACGTGGTGTTGATGCTATAATTGTAGTTGTCGTTTGAGATGTAGTTGTGGCATCAGTTATTTCTACAACTGTAAGTGTGATCATATCAGTGGAAACTGGGGGTTTAATGGTTGCTGCGGTATTATTTGTACTGACAGATGGGATCTCAGCTGTGTTTGAAACTGTTTCAGTGTTAGCTTCAGTTGTAGCTATGGTTGCAATCGTACTACCAGCTTTAGTTTCAGCTGTGGTTGCAACTGTACTTTCAGCTTCAGTTGCAGCTGTGATTGCAATCGTACTTCCAGCTTTAGTTTCACCTGTGGTTGCAACTGTACTTTCAGCTGTGGTTGCAACTGTACTTTCAGCTGTGGTTGCAGTTGTACTCTCTGCTGTGGTCCAATCCGTTGTTGCGGTGGTAGTTGGTGCTGTTAGATAACAAGGCATGCAGAGTTAACTAAATATAATAAAAATATTTTTTGGCAAAAACAACTGGTTAATTAATCTCAGCTCTTTAATTGAAACTGAAGTGAATAATAGAAAATACTTAAACAATACATAGCTGCAGTTCTGCAGTACCATAAAGTATGAGTGTTGATTTTATACGTACCAGCCGTAGGGACAGCAGATGTGATCTCTGTAATAGGAAAAATACATGTGATAAAAATATAAATAAATCTTAAACTACTTCATTAAGTTAACTTGTCATATCACACACAATGTCATATAACTACTTAAAGATGCACAACCTAATATGTTCTTGTGGCAGTAACACCATGGTACTTCATGAACAGTGTTATCCCAACAACACTTTGCTTGTATACAGCTCGTTTCTGATGAATGACCGCAATTGTCTCTGGTGTAATGGTTGGTGTCAAAGATACAGGTCTTTAAGAAATCATCTGAAACGAAAAAGGTGAGTCTCTAGCAGGGGTTTCAAGAAGCCAGATGCCTTTACGCTAGACACAATTTTTTGAAAGATACCGTATTCTGCATTGATTCTAATATGTCTGAGTCTTATTACTTGGTAGGTGGATCATATTGAGCATTAGTAAGAAAGGTTATGTCGTAAAAATGACCCTATGATTTTCCATAAACTTGCTGAAGACTCTGTAGGTATTGTATGTCTAATATTCATCATTATGTTTTACCTGGGTATTAAGCTATTCAATATTCAATAATAAACAGTTTATTCCTCCCGAAACGTTTATTCCTAAACTACCTGTATATATTTTCTTCAACGAATCATTATAGATTTTTATGGAGAAAACTGTGAGGAATCCGTACCCATTGATCTCTGCATTTATTCTGTACAAAATAGACTTTCTGTATTGTCTCTGTACATACTTTTGGAGGATCTGTACTTTCCTTATTGCCTCTGTTCATATTCTGTGAATATTCTTTACTGAATCTGAACATATTGTGTACGAAAAATGGGCATTGAAAAAAGTCCATGCTTTCTTGAAGCTCACATGAAGAATTACTCGATAACACATATGTTTCTGTATCACGCCCGGCAATCAGATATTGGGGATGGAGGGGGAAGCAGGCAATTTCTGCTAAAAAAATAACATATCTGGAATTTTTTTCAAGAAAAAGTTTACGATTAAATCGCTGAATGAATAGGCGAATTCAAGAAAATAGTCTTACCTTTTAATTAGGATGGGTTCAGGTGCCAAAAATAACTGATCCATGGATATATATCATTTTGAAAATTGGATGCAAGAAATATTCTTTGGGAGCCATGTTTTTTTACGAGTCATAACAGGAAATAGATTATCTAAATGAAAACTGGATTAACATCATTAATTCTGATTTTAGCTTTTATTTGGCTAAATGTATATTTAAATATTATTAAAATGATTTTTGACTATTTTTTTATAAATCTTATGCAGTGATTCGACTGTTTTCTTAATTTAATTATGTAGCTAAATATTTTATTGGGATCCAAGAGCTCGCTGTTTGCCGAATGGATATAGGCGCTGGACTATGACGTCAGATTTTGATAGTCCGAATCCAGCACGTCGGTGGTTCGATCTCCGGTCGGGTCTAATGTTTCTTTTCTTTTTTATTTGACTCTCGGCCACAATTTTTTTAATTCTCTTTTTAGACAACATATAGTCATCTAATACTTTTTGAGCTTTTAGATTTTAGATACATCGTTGGTGTGTTACTTTAAATGCCCAATGGTCCAATTTTAGGAAAACTCCATTTCTTTTGTATTGACTGAGGTAAGCTCATTGAGAAGTGAGTGGGTGTAATTAAGTCAGCTTAAGTGCATTGCATTTTACGTGGCATGTACAGTTTAAAGTTTGATTTCCTTTGTGTTTACTATTCAACTATTGAAAGAGTGAATATGGTATAATTAGTTCAGCTTAAGTGCAATGCATGTGACAGTCAATCGTCGTTTGTGCTACATCGGTTTTGGCAAGCTAATGCAAAGTGTTCATTCTTTAAAACCAACAGAAAAATATTGGAAAAAACACTGGATATTTTTTAAAATAAAACAGTTCATTCTATTGTGTTGCTACCCAAGTGTGGTTGAAATTAACATAAAGGATCGTGTCTTTACAGATTCTTTTCAATACTAGATTTAAAGAGAAAATCCATGTTGGATTCAGCTCAGCATATCGATACCAACCCAAAGCCTTTACTTTCACTGTTTATTAACTAACTTACTTACTAATGTCTGCAACATTTAGGTTGTTAAGTTCATTAGGTCACATGAACAATATACACCTATTGGGAATTGTTGATTATTTAATTGAGCGTTTTTTATTTCAGTGAGTTTTTGTAATACATGTTCTCTTGAAAGTGCATCAGATAGGTTATAGAAAAGCTTCATTATTCACGGTCCACAACCCGTTCCGTATGATATGGTCCGTTCGTGTGCTAGAATACGATCCCTTCGTGAGGCAAAGAGGCCAAAATTGACAAAATGTCAGAAAAAAGGAAGGAAACAGAAAAATTTTATGTTTTGTAAATGGTTACCTAGACAATATAATTACCTATCAATTCATCAAGAAAGCAAGAAAAAAATAACAAGGCTTAATTGGTTAAAATAGGTCGAACATAGACTTTTCACTACAGAGTACACTTCAATTGCAATACTTATTTTATATTACCGTATACATGTTTCCGTTCGTGCAATTTATAAAGTACAAGCATTAATGCGTGCGACTGATAAATAAATATAACGTGATACATCACAAAAGTACATGAAAATGTGGTTTAAAACTCGAATAGAAGGATCCGACCCTACCACAGCTAGGATACGACCAAGTCGCGTGAGGAAAATTCGGGGACTCCGACCATGTACTGTTAATAGTTCCATCTTTTCGTGTGAAAAAATTCGACCAATTCGTGTTTTACAAAAAAAACATATTCGAAATGACATGCATACACTCCCCTCCATAAGTTTGGCAACCTTTTTTCCCCCATTGAACTACGTGTTAAAGCCTCTTTACCTTTGAATTTTTATATACTTAACCTGTGATGAAAATACAATATACTATTGATGGAAACGTAATTTGACTTTAATTCCAATACCTCCAAATTTTCTCAATTTTTTCCTCAATTACAGTTACAGTAGGTCGAAAATTGATGATGAATTTGATGAATTTTTGAAAATCGACATTCCCATGTTAACCAATGGGAAATGGTAGGTTTGCCGCAAGTCATATGACAGAATATCCATCCATCCGAATCCTTGCAAAAAATACGAGTTAGGCAGGTAATTGAATTTGCTAACTTTATTTAACAAAAATTGATATGTTTCTTCAGGTTCAACAAAGTTCTAGGGCTTTAAAGTCAAAATTGTTTTTCAAAAAACCTCTCCCATTGAAATAACACAGGAGGCGAAAAGTTATTTTCAAAAATGACTTTGAAGCGCTGTAACTTTAATATTCATCAAATAAACTAAACACTAAGTGTTCAAAAAAGTTAGACAATTCAATTTTCTATATAAAAATATTTTTTGCTGAATCTTTTACTGAAAAGATATCCTGATTTCTGATTTGCCCCGAACCCTCCATTTCCCATTGGATTACATTGGAATAACGATTTTCAAAAATTTATCAAATTTATCATCAATTTTCGACCTATTGTAATTGAAGAAAAAAATTGAGAAAATTTGGAGGTATTGGAAATAAAGTCATGTTACGTTTCCATCAAAATCATAAGTAACTTCATCGCCGGTTAAGTAAATAAAAATTCAAACGTAAAGAGGCTTTAACACGTAGTTCAATGGAGAAAAAAGGTTGCCAAACTTATGGAGGGGAGTGTATATACGATCAGTGTATCATATAACTTATTCTCTATTTCAGTGCCTCGAAATAAATGTCACAATTGTGACTTTAAGAGCTCCAAGATGGACGACCGTTTTTCGTGCGCTTTTCGTATGTGTTCTCTTAGTAGAACAAGAGTGGAATACTATTACTTCGGTCCAAAGCCTTCTCTATATTCCGGCTTTGAGTAGAAAGATTGAGCTGCCTTGGTATTGTAAATATTGTAAATCATTGTGTCACACGCACAGTAAATACGGCATAATAACATGAAATATACCTCTATGTAAAGATTTGAGAAACATCACCACACATCTCCGTCTGAATCTATTGTTACATTTGATTTCTTTAAGCGAGAATAATTTCAAAGCTTCCTCCATTTATTCACGTCCGGAAATAGCTACAGCGAGAAAATTTCACCATGTGTCAAACTCGGAAAGAAATTTTGAAATATCTAAGTCCAGACAAGCAACGCTTCATCCTAAATATAATTAATATTCTTAAAAATATTTATAAAATTTATCAAAAATGATTTCTAGGTGCGTGAAGCAATTTTTACATACGAAATACGAGTACATACGAAATCAATGAAGTTACATCTAGCTGTAAGCTAGAGACTCGAGTAAGAATACTCGATAACACAACCAGCTTCACTACATTGAAAATCATCATCTCTCGTATGCCCTGCAAGATGTCTCTTAAGCTCCTCTTATACTTTGTTTCAAAAGACTCGCACAAGCTACACTTGCATATGCGATCCGTTTCGACATGAACTGCTCTGTTTGGGCAACTGGATAATTACTCAGATGTAGATAGTACATGTATACCAGTTTCGCCACAAGGTGGCCAGTTCGGGGGAAATAACATTACAAAGTTCCTTAAACTTGAATATTCATCACCAGTGGTTCTCTTTTCAAATCATCGTTATGTATCTGATAGTTATATAAATAAAAATATGTTCAGCAAAAGTTAAAATATTATCTGCCCAACACAAGAAAATATATTTCACTTTTTGTGATTTTACCACATGGGGTCTATCGTGAATCCCCCCGACCTAGAAGTCAAATTTTCAAAGAAAATTAACTTTAAGGTTGATAAACTCCCTTTTCTTAATGTAATTTTACTTGTAGACTCTAAATATGACATCAGTTTGACTGAATTTTAATTTTTAATGACGTATATCAAGATTCTTTCTACTCGCATATAGTCTATTCATGAGAATAAGTGGACTTTGGGGTGTGGATGTCGATGGTTATAACTCATTTTTATTTTCGTCTAAATGTGACTTCTAGAGAGCTTGAATCTGGTACCAGCTCATCCGTTTCATTCTGTATAGGCACTATCAACGACATTTAGATAAACAACCATAATATATTAATAACACATACATTTATTGACATTTAATACATTGACTCTAGTGTAATATAATCATTTAATTCGATATTTCTAGCCCCATGGATTTAGTATGGTAACTTTAAAATATCTTCATGTTATTTATTCGTTCACGACACTATGGAGCTCAAAACACGGTAGGGTCGGAAATGAAACACGGTAGGATCGGAAGAGAAACGCGCGTGGGTCGGATCCATTCTAAAAAATTAACCAACAGAGTCGGATCCTCTTCTTATTTGCTTTTGACCATTTTAAAATCAGTATATACCAAGGAACATTCAATTGGCGTGATTGTATCTATCAATGTATACAAAGGCTTCATTTGATTTACATAATCTACCACAATATGGTACATTTGACACGTAAATGACGATAAGGAAGCAGAAACTCACTCTCTCAGCATATATGTCGTCACCACAAACAGATCGAATGTTTTTGAGCATTCAAAAACTTAGACAACTTTTTCAGTTTTTCAGTTTAATATACATATATTTATCAATTTGAATCGCGCAGTATAAATGTAAAATCAAAGAATACTCTAATAATGCAACTCACCTCCGAATTTCCTCCCTATAGAGGCGGTATGGTCGAATCGTGTGCACGCGAACGGACCATAACATACGGAGTGGGATGTGGACCGTGATTATTGATTTTTGTTTGAATTTAAATTTTTTAGGAAATATAGTATTGCGTCAAAAAGACCTTTTAGAAGGAACAAAAATTTATCACAAAATATCAAAACACCCCTTGTGTCCTTTGCCGATCTCTTACTTTGGGTATAAAATATTTCAGACATTAAGGTGTATTGCCCCATGTTACGTTTGAAAATATGTTTTATCATTCATTTACTATTCTTCATGACTTTACAGTCAATATGGTACTACGAAGATGGGACTACTGCGCATGTTAAGATTGTTCTTCAAAACTGAACTTTTTTCAAGTTGATACGATTGTCTTTCGAACTAGAGACTTGTTCATTTGAAATATCCCAAAAGAATTTATCTAGACTTTATCCCAGCATAGTAGAATAAGCCGTCAGTCCGCTTTTGATTTCTTGAAGTGAGTTTCTGTAGATCGTCAGATTTCTCCGACTGGTATCGGGTTATCTCAAATTGGTTCATTTTTACGTACAAATTTCTGCACCCTTGTAAGACGCATGCGCAAAATTAATTTATAAATGTGATTGGTTGATGATTTTCTCCTGAGCATGCGCAAAGTCTGATGAACACTTATGGTGAAGACATGTAGCGAGCATTACTAGCTCTAAACGAAATTCCGAAATTCAGATCATTTTACTATGTTGGCTATGCGTGTATACGTGAATAACAAGCTGCTGTGAGTAGACCAGGTATGTGTTTCAGACACAACATTAATTTAGCTTGACATTGAGCTGCACAGTCGCACGTTTGAACATTGTAATACAAGTTTTTATATCCATAGTAGGAGACAGGTTTTCGAAAAATCGGTCATTCACTCGATTATTGTATGGATATGTACTTCTGCTGACGTGTTAATACCACAGCACATAGAATTACGATAATAAAAAACAAAACGACTACTTAATTCCAATTGTTATTTCTCAGAAGGTAAAAATGCACACTGCCTAGATATTTGTAAGGGTTATCAGACATCGATTGGCCGCCATATTTGAAATAAAAATATCACTAAATAGAGCTTTGCGCATGTCATATAATATCTACTGTTTAAAAGTTATTTCAGAGATTTAAAAAAAAGTAAAAGCTCATGGTGACGACCTATTTTTAACTTCAAAATATATTTATCACACCCGTTGGTGCTATCTTCGGATCATTCTTTAGTTTAACCCACTATGGTATGAAGTAATCAGAATTTTGGGACAAATGTGACCGAAAAACTTGATAGAGGAAATCGAGGGGGGTCGATGGAATCTAAATAGAGCTTTGCGCATGTCATATAATATCTATACTGTTTAAAAGTTATTTCAGAGATTTTTGAAGAAAAAAAATTGGGAAAAAGTTTTAGGGTCACATAAACAATATATTCCTAAAATAAATGCTCATGATTACTACCTATTATTTATTTCAAAATATATTTATCACACCCGTTGGTGCTATCTTCTGATCATTTTCTAGTTTTACCCACTATGGTATGAAGTAATCAGAATTTTGGGACAAATGTGACCGAAAATCTTGATCGAGGGAATCTTTTTTACTTCAATGGATTCATTATATATTGTACTTTTAGGATTTTTATATCTTACAAACGGGTTCGCAGGTCGACCCCTCACTTGTAACTTCTTGGATCAAGGCAAGGCCAGCAAAACCTGTAAGGAAAATTACGCTCATTATTAAAGGCAAAATAAGATCTATAGAGAGTTTCAAAAGTGCAAGCAATATGTACTAATGATCTAACAATATGTTCCTTACAAGCTCAAATATAATATCTCCCAAAAAAATCCGTGATATGTTATCAATTGGTGAAGTTATTTCAGATTCAATGTGCGAAAACGGGAGGAAATATTTAAATTCTCCCATAATAGGAAAGGTAAACATTTTATAGACAAATGGGTGCATCATTTTAAAAATTTGTAGTTTTCCTCAAACAATTAAAAGTATATAGTTGGAGTATTTTTAGAAAAAGACATGAAAAGGAATGACATTGATCCAGAATATTCGAATTTATTTTAGAATGGCTTTCATATAATTAATTGAAAACAAGATGATAACCACTAAATTTCGACTCGATAAAGAAAAATTATCAAAGCTCATCAGGAATGGACGACATTGCATCTTGCATTGGGTAAAGAGGGCAGTATCGTGGGTTGTCCTATGAGAAAGATAGATCAAGTAATCGAGGAAACAAAATTGATTGAAGAGTTTTTCAAATAGCTCCATGAGAATAAGACGGTAGTCCAGAAGATAAGCAGCTGAGGAACGTAGTAGTGTGTGCCAAAACCCCAGAAAATCACAAAAACCTATGTTGTGGTAGCTTACTATGAAGTGACCCATTATCATTATAGATTGGTCCATCAACTATTCATTTTTACTTGTCTGCACTCAAAAAGGTGACACAAAAGGGCTAAACGGCTTCCACCAAGGTGCAACCATCAAAAAGATGAGTTTGATGAAAAATTATTTTTTTCAAATAATAGCAATGGGTATACAATATAGGAGGCAAATTTGGTATTGATAAGTATGATATTCCATTTGCGTGTGGCCATTTTTATAAAAAACAATAATTGTGAAGAATTATATATTTCTGACCTGAAAATACCATATTTATTCAAAAGTCATGGTTGTTAATGATAATATTCCTATATCACCTATTCAATGTTTTCAAAATATTTTAATTACCATTATATTCATTTTTGGCAAAGTAAATAAATATAGGGCTCACACAAGGATCAACTTTATTTGCAATATTTTCATATTTAGTGATGTTTTGAAAAAATATAAGGTTAAACACAATTTTATTTGTTAAATGTTTAACAAAATAAACAGAGTGTGTTTATTTCATTGTTTTAACTGAAAAATCGCAATTCATTGCTCTTCCTCTTAGAACGGCAGGGGATATACAAGTACATAAACAGTCTTAAAAAACGTTGATCCTTGTGTAAGCCCTACACTTATTTACTTTGCCAGAAACTGATACAATGGTTATTCGGTGGTATGAAAATCATTTCAGAGGTAAAATAGGAAGAATGTCTTTGAACTTGGAATAAAAAGCATTATATGGTTAGAAATACCCAATTTTTACCATAATTGTTTCTAATAATATAACCATACCCTCATGGACTATCTTTACATTTCAATAACAAATGTGCATTATATTTTGCATGTTTTACTGCAATTATTTGTAAAAATATTTTTAAATCTTACATTTTTGACTGGAAAGTGAAGAGACAATACTCAAATATACTCATATTATTGGTCACATTTGGTTATTTCACCCAAACAGATTCGGGATTTTTTAGTCCAGGCATATGAAGAAACTAGAATTAAATGGTCATATTATACAATACAATACAATACAATACAATACAATACTGATCCAATTCAGAATTACTAGAGAAAGTAACTCTCGTGGCTGTTGATTACTGATTGCAGTCATTAAATTAATGACCTCATATTTGGATGTCCTCTCTCCTGATATGATTTTACAATTCACTTCAAATTGGCAAAGGACCAGGTATAGTATGGCAAGTGATATCTGATCGTCATATATTTTACCATGACTACTTTCTCAATATAAATATGACATTTAAACACAATATGTTATCTTTCAAGAAAATTCAATTCTCAATGATTATAAAAATATCATTCAAACAATCTAAAAAACTATGAATGGGGAACCCATCTCAACATTTTTTTGAAATTATTTACTCAGCAGAGGTTCTTCTTTTTTATTTGAATTGCATGAAAATATTATTCAACAAGTGGTCTAAAACTTTTTCATTAGTAGAATTGTAATGAAAGTCTAGTTTTGGAGATATCAATTTTCAATGACCACAATTATGTTAAAAACAATGGATAGTTTGAGTTTTTCCAATGGAAAATAACAAGGAACTTGTGGTTTTTAACTTTATCGCATTTCAATACCCGTCCCCTTTTCAGAATTTGTTAATTCATTAGCGTAGAAGAACTTTTGATATATTCGAATTAAGGAAAAATACTTTAGAAAATAAGCCTAATATTTTTCAAAAAGTGACAAGGTGGGGATCTTATCAATAATATTTCAGATATATTTTCAAATATTTATATTTTCAATTTCAATTTATTGATACATTCAAGCATTATGTTTACGAATGTTATTAATAACAGGTGGCACCACATTTGATGCTTATACCCGTACATATAGTAGTAAAATCATGTAGTGTATCATTAAGTTGTCAAGGAATCAAACCAGAATGAAATCATAAAAAATAAGTTGAAAAATAAAGGTTGAGGGAGATTCATGATGTTTTTTCTTTTCAAGTGAAGAAGTTGGATGATATCATTTTTATCACACAGGGACTTTACATAAGAAAAATCATATTGTTTTCACAAAAACACGTTCAGCCCAAAACGCCAAATACTAATTAGATATTGGGATATCACCTTGAAATGATCTTGATCCATAAACATTGACTTATAGATCTCTGGTCATTTTATCATTGGTCATTAAATAGGACTGTAGCCCCACATTTGCCAACTACTTAGATATTGAACTTGAAATGACCTTGACACCAGGTCACCTAATCATTGGTCGCCAAAGGTCACAATTGTTCTCAATTGCCTTTAAACTCCAAATTGCGAGATATTGACCTTGGAAGTCACCCTATCATGAGTCGCTAAGGGCCACAGCAGATACAAGGGCCTTAATACACCAAATACTTAGATACTGATATTTGACCTTGAAATAACCTTGACCTCAGGTCACACATTCATGATTCACAAAGGGTAACCTCAGCCCAAAAACGCCAAATATTTAGATATTGATGACCTTGAAATGATCTTGACCTATAGACCTTGACCCTGACAACAGATCACCTAATAATCGGTTGTCAAGGGTCAGAATTGTTCTTTATTGCCTTAAAACACCAAATTGCTAGATATTGACCTTGAAATTACCTACACCCATTCAGTTGATCTTTACCTCAGGTCACATAATCATCGGTTATGAAGGGTCACACCATCGGCAAAATGTCTTAAAATGCCAACTCTCCTAGATATTGATATTTTAAAACTTGAAATTACCCTGACTTTTGACCTATGTTGAATACACATCTTATGAACAAAACATAGTACGAAGTTGAAAATTGATCTTTTTGAAATGAAATTGCTGCTAATGTTTCAAAACTAAGGTATCTTTATTGCAAAAGTACTATTCAAATTGAATAAACCAAAAGAGATAGATTATCTAATCTTCCATCAGATTTAGTAAAATTATAACTCTTAAGTAAATGTTGCAATGAATGCTCACACATATCTTGTTGTATATCAATCTAGTGCAACTGCTACAGGTATCACTCTGACACGTATCTGTGAACAAATCAAACTTCTTTGATGTTGATGTAATGCAAATTGGTATCTTTTAATATGACGTCCGTAAGATAAACCATCAATACTAGGATTGTCAAAACTTGCATTAATAAAATCAATTCCCGTCTCATCACTGTCACACCCATTACTACAAGATGATGCCTCTTAGATCACTGTCTGCAAGCTATAAACTAAGTGATGCACTATATGCTCGTAATACTTTTTTATTCAAAATCAAAAGTCAATGATACTTTTCCTATTTTACCTATTAAATGATTTTTATATATCCGAATAACCATTATATACGTTTTTGACAAAGTAAATAATTGTAGGGCTCACACAAGGATCAACTTTTTGAAGACTTTTTCGTACTGGTGGTGTAGACTCTCCTGCTTGCGAAGCAAGGGCGATGAATTGAGATTTTTCAGTCGAAACAAGAAAACAAACATATAATTGTTTTTTCTTCAACAAATATAAAATAAAATTCAGTTTACCTTCGTATTTTTTCAAAACATCACTTAATATGAAAATGCTATGAACAAAGTTGATCCTTGTGTGAGCCCTATAATTATTTACTTTGTCAAAAACTAATGAAATGGTTCTTGGTATATTTAAAAAACACTGACTATATAAAATAGGAATACTATCCTTGACAACAGTAACTTTTTAATTGAAATCGCATTTTAAGGTCATAAATATCCAATTTTTACCATAATTGTTTTTCATAAAATTACCACACCCGAATGGACTATCATTACACATCAATATCAAATTTGCATCTTATTTTGTATACTTACAAGTATTATTTTAAAAAAATGTATGTTTTTCAAACTCATCTTTTTGACGGTCGCACCTTGGTGCAAGCCGTTTAGCCCTTTCGTGTCACTATTTTGACTGCAGACAAGAAAAAATGAATAGATAATAGATCAATCTAAAATTACTATGGGTCAATTCATAGTAAGCTACCACAACATAGGTTTAGCCTAACTAAGCCACTTAGAAAGCAATTTGGCACACACTATACAGTCAAGCCAAGTAAGTAAGTCAACATTCGAAAATAAAAATCTCAAAAATCGTACATCTTTGATTTCCAAAATAATTTGTGAGGTGGTCATTTAGATGATAATACACATTTTAACGCACTAATTTTGAGTACATCTTGAATCCATTCTCAACAAAGCGTTCTCGAAATAAGTATTCGAAATGTTTGAGTTCGGGATGATAAAAGTACGTTAAGATATACCGCTCCTTAACAAACTCCTTCAGGAACAAGATATAGAATCAAATGCATATTCTTCCTATTTATTCCCTGACACATGCCAATGCATGTTGCATAAGTAAATATCTCCGTTTTAAAAAACTTTGAAAACGTTGTTCTCTACAGTTGCCATTTTTTATAATTGAAAAACAAAATTGAACAATTTGCATTTCTAAATTGATAAGTTTCTTGGAATACAACTTAACTGTAAACGATTTAAGTCATTAATAATATTTCCCTTGGTGAACCCATGCTGAATAGACAGTAACTGGGTCAATGTTTTGTGTTCAACCTTGTTTTCATGACTTTTAAACATGAGTCGACAATTATGTAGGAAATTTCATTTTCAAATGTAAGCGTGTCAACTCCTGTTTTTGCACAATATTTAGCCCTTTATAATGATAGATCGCCAAAATATGCATGTACCTTTCAATTAGGCGATATGTTTTTCAATTTATAGATGTAAACTATAAACTCAAACAAAAATTCAAACCACCCGCTCTATTATTTTGATTACACAAGACGAAATTTCCACTCCCGGGGAGCACTTTGGTATCACTTTGAAGGAGGATTCTTGAAAAATCGTTTGAATTTTCACAAAAGGTTTCACGTAATCTTATTGCTTTGTTTAAGCCTCGACTTATATTATATTCAAATCCGATACCATAATTATGAATCAAAATGAAACATTCAATTCACCAGGTTAAATAATAAACCGTTTCGAGAATTGATGATTTGAGTTAATTGTGGATATTTATATAAATGTAAGTTGGCATGTATTCCACAGTTAATGTACACACATGATGTATGCATCAACGTGTGACTTAAATATCAATTCGTGACTATCACATTTGGCTTCCAAAAATTAAGTTGGAAATTACAGTGGTAGGAGATTAACGAAAACGTCAATCACATCCAAATATCCGTACGACGTCAAGTATTAACAAAACATTTTCCGTGCATCTCGAACATGGCAAGGTTCTGTTCTCCAGCAATGTGCATTTCGAAAGAAAATATTCACAAATCTCAACAAATTTCATTGAGTAGGATATTACATTCGAAATCACAACTTTCAAATTATTTTTTTTAACCAAGAATTGTAAGAACTTGAAACATGTTGTAAGTTTTTCAAACGGCATATCCTCATTCACGTTCTTTGACAAGGATGAATCCATTTGAAAACATGGATTTTCTTGATTATTCTTCAAAACTACCCTTGAAATATAAGTATGTAGGATATTACAGTGTAAATTGACACGCATTTGTTTGCCCGATATCCTGAACAAATAAATGCAGTACCGTCTTGCAATATTTGAAAACCAAAAGTTCATTCTGTATGTAAACAAGAAAAAATACATTTATGGTTGGTTCATAATGAAAAATGACGAATAACATATATCTTTTGAAGTAGGGGTATACAGGGACACAGTGGAAAATCAGAAATTTAGGTCATATCCCAAAGATTGCTTCACCAATATGTAACAGAACATCAAAATTATCATTTACACGTTTGCTGATAGGTTTATTGAAAATAATTAACCAGAGGTTTACTTCAATCGTGGCACCATTCTTAGTAAATATTGATGAACATACGAATATCGAATGTTGACTAAGTTACTTGTCTTGACCGTATAGTGCCATCATTACCGGTAGTGTGATAGAAAAATGAAAACGCGGCTCACAATATTTCTTTCAAATCTAATTATACTATTCTAAGGATGGCGATCGTTTTTTCGGTTGATATGATTTTAGCTTGTTCTGTATTTTGTGTTTTTTTTCCTCATGTGCATGACATATTAAGTTATTCAGAGTGTTTATTTACCTGACACAATTAGCAGCAATGACCTGTAGCATGGGACATGAAGAACTGGCATTCTGCAATATGTATCTGAAATTCAAATACAAATACTGCATATCAGTTTAGACTAGACGCTGCTCAATCATGGATATATATGAATATTGTGAAAGGAAGTAATATATTTAAAGGTTCCTTAAAAAGGTATGTGTAGAGTTTGAAAAAACACATTTTCATCATTTTAGAGAAGTAGTAGGTGGGTTAATTACATCTGAACTTCATTTAATGATCCAAATGTCCCCTTTGGCATGGATGTATCTTAGGGCAATATAAACAATTTTATCCAAACACAATTTTCAAAATAGCCGCCATAAATACATCAAAGACAATATCTTTGCTTCTGTGCATGCTACAATTATTAGACTGGTGTCAAAAATACATTGATGGGCTTGTAGAATCCATTTAATGAGGTTTCGAGACCTGAAAATTAAGAACTTCCACTTTAAAATATACGCATTTTTCAGAAAAATAGTGATACTAAAATATCAAACCAACTCCCTCGAAAATTATTGACTATGGCCCTACCTTTTTCAGAACTTTATTACAATATATTAACAATTCCTTAAAATAGGATGGCGTATGAAATAAAAACAACATCTCCCATGTTATTTTCCGATGGGAAAACTCATTGGTCATCGAAAATTCAAAACAAGACTTTCAAACCATTCTACTTTTGAACAAGTTTTAGACCTCATGTTGAATAATCCTTTTCATGCATTAAAAATAAATTAAAAGAATAAAAAATAAGAAGTAAACATAAAAAGTGAAAATGTTTATTAAATAAAAGTTAGTTACGTCTCTGGCAACCATTTTGAAAAAATGCATATTTTTAAATATAAAATAGAAGTTCTTAATTTTCAAGACTCAAACCCTAGTTCTACACCCACAAAAAATGTAGATTCAGGCACCAATATTATCATTATAGCATTCATAGAAGCAAAGATATTGTCTCCGTTGTATTTTTGGCGGCCATTTTGAAAATGCGTATATTTCCAATAGCGCCATCTGGCTTGTGTCTTTAGATATATTTTTCCTATGGTCCTAAGGTACTCTCATGTCAAAGAATACGTTTGCGTCATTAATTGAAGTTCAGACTTCCTAAAATGCAGTTCCACATATTAAAGGCCGAACAACTACAGAAAAACATGTTGCTACCACAGCTAAATTATTGTTGATAGTATTCCCAATGTCACTTGGTGAAAAGGTGAAAATAATATAGATTAAAAGGTTTGATATACTGCTAGCTAAGTTACTTTAAGAGGGAATCGTATAGTAGAATAAGAAATAAGTATCTTTAAAAATAATTTTTGATTTAATAATATTATTCTTGTATTATTGAAAGGGAACAACAAATAATGCATATTATATACAATAATATTCTAGTCAAGAGCAAATGATTCATTGGCATTTGCAATCAAAACCCTATTGTACATGTTAATTTTTTTATAATTATTAATCCATTTGTAAGGGTTAGTGGATTAATTTCAACAGCTGGACGTGGTTCTTATTTCCACAAAAATAATTTACAAATTAAGTATTTACATATATTTTGATTGCTTAATGTCCCTCTTGTTGTGATTAACATTGTGTTAATTTTTTAATTTAATCGAATGCTCTTTGGAAAGATAATCTTTCAATTTTTGATTAAAGGCCAGCTTTGCGTATTTTCAATATTTTTGGGGCAAAATAAAGACTTTTATTTGAATGTTATAGAATGTCCAATGTATTGAACCTTTTTTTCATTGACACCAACAACATCTCAAACGGACCACATCAAAGCTTACAATAATTGATAAGAAAAAACAACATTTTGATCTGTCAAGCTTTATACATCAACTAACTTTAAAAAATGAGCAATGTCATTAGTATTATGATAATAACGTCCCTTATACCTATTTATTACAGGTCGTGTAGACCATTTTTGTCCGATTTATAGCAAAAACATTGACTTTTGCACGTTGGTGATGATGCGCCTTTTTTAATAGATCTCATATCTTAGAAGGGTATCAGTTTAAAAAAAATACTAGATGACCTAACATATTTTGCCATGCACTGCGCCTATTTATTTGGCAATTCAGTTGTAAATTTTCTCTTGAAAAAATAAATCATCCAAATTTGTTGAGTTTTCTTTCAGAAATCGCCTAATCCCCCTCCATCATTTTTGTACGATCACCGGGCGTGGTGTTGAAGAGCTCAAATTCTGGGAAAAAAAATTTTACATCCTGGTTTTTTCCCCATTGAAATATACAGGGTCCGATTTTGAACACATCATTTCAGCTCTATTTGACATTCTTCTTCACGTAAATTTGCACAATCGATAAAATGTAGGTCCTTATGACAATCTGCGAAGAGTTTTCATGAATATTTTTCGAAACTGACGATAATCATGAAATGTTCTACCGTGACGTCACTGACTTAGTTTCCGGAAGCTGAGACCCGTTACTCGATATGAAACAAGAAGCAAAATTTCGTCTATACAACATGGACTTGCATTCATGTTTATATCAATTGCGAGGTTTGTAACTTGATATTAATGTGACCTTTATCGTCCCGACAATACGCAAAAACATGGTTTTAAGGTTGGGAGAATTTGGTTTAATCAACGGACCAATGAATATTTGTCCCATTTGAAGCGATGCATTGCGGGAGATATTTAATGTTAATGACCATGTTTTCGTCTATCGCGTATTTGTCTATTAAGCCAGACAATTTTCAAAACGACACTTGATGACGTATGTCACAAATGTCCGGCGCAAGCTCTACTATTAGTAATGCTACTTTTTTGTTGATTATTCAACACGACACCTTTAATTTTCTCTTGACACAAAGGAGGCTATTTGAGAAAATTGTGATATGGCCAAAACATGATTTCTCTAGCAGTGTTATCTGACACTCATGAGATACATGATCGATGATTTTAGATTTAGATTTATGAACTTTATTACACATGCATACCCATAAAGGGTTAAGTGTACACAAAGTAAACACTAAGTTTACAATATATCAATACAACAGAAAACAGTACAATAACAACACACACAATTAATACTTCATAATGAATGAATAAGTAAATAAATGAACAAATAAATATGTATCATGGATGAGCACATGAATGGTGATTGTCATACGCGTCCATTGTTTATGTCATATATCACACCCTTCTATGTTATATTACATTTATGAATAAATTATGCTACAATTTCAATTTCTTTATTTTCACAAGACATACAATATAGGAAGAAAAGGGAATCGTCCTCCATGTTGAAAATGTGTTTAATTGGATTGTCGTGTGATTCACGTTTATCGAGCATTTTCTATATACACTGTATTTTTTACATGAAAGCATTATATTTTTTCGTTTTCTATTAAATTGCAAACCTCGCAAATTCTTTCATCGATCTTTAATTTTGGGCGTTCGTATCTACCCGTTTCTATTTTTAATTTGTGGTTACTGATACGAAACTTTGCTAGACTTCGTCGTAAATGCCCATTTGAAATTGAATCTAAATAAGGTTCGAACCTGAAATTGCTTTAAATATTTTGTACGCATTCAGTTTGCGACATTGGTCGGAATTCAATTGATTTCGCCAATAATCTTCAAAACTAATTTTTGATTTACAAACAACTTCGGATGCGTCAATAGTATATTGTTTAACATCTAAAGTATTATTGATGTTGATGTCTCCTAAAAACGATACTACCTCTAATTTATCTATTACACTTTTAAAATTCAGCATCCACGATGACTTGTTGTTCTTTGATAGGTCATTAGATGTAGTAAGTCTTTCTGATAATAAGATGTATGACGTATTAACATGTGATTATAGAAATTAGTAACTTGTTCATATTTATGTATAGTGGGTATTTCCCAAGCTCTCCATAAATTGCTAAATTTGTTGATTTTTATATACTCTAAGAATATATTTACAAAAAGATAACAGAAGTTTCTCAGATGAAAATCGTCTGCCATTTGTAAACCATTCATTTAAATCTTTTTTAGAAAAGTAACTCGACATGCCCCATATTTCGGATCCATATAAGATTATTGGAACTACCAATTGTTCAAAAATCTTTGTCCCTATTGAAGGTTCTAAATTAGTATCGCCTAGTGACCTTTTGATTTATAAATTGCTTTTAATGTGATTCGATGTGATTTGCTACGTCTTGGCGTTGATGCTCTCTAGCTTTCCTAGTTATCATCTAATGCCTTATTGTGTCTCACGTACCAAACGCACTTATATGTACTTGCAGGAAGCTTACTTGAATCGTGCAACGTTTAGATTACATATTTATGAGGAGACAGGTTCAAGTAACTCATGTGGATGAATAGGGAGGTTAAGCTACACGTATTTAACAAAACGTGAACGTGAACTTCAATGCACGCGCGGATAGATGACGTTAGATTTGTTTATTTTCTGTGGGCCCGCGTGAAGTTTACAGATAGGTGCAATTAACAGACGCGTATTCAACAAAGCATGAATTTCTATGCGCGCTCAGGAAAATGACGTCAGATTAGTCTACTTTCTACAGGTAAACGTGGAAGTTACAGGTTTTTGCATGTTAGTGAGCGATTACACGATACAGATAATCTTGCTTGTTATATTGGTAAACCCCAATCCTTAATATGAAATAAGAATACATTTTAATGGATAAATGACAACTTCAAATGTTATAGTTATGTTTCATTTCGTATAATATACATAGACAGGGACAGTTTAATATCTGGGGCTTAGTATAGTATGTTTACTAAACGAAATGAAATTAAATGACAACTATAAGGCATACTATTGCCTTATCACTACATTTGATTTGCGAACAAGGCATTTTTGTATTACGTCCGCAAATAAAAAACAAAAATGTATTCAAGCGACTAGATTTAAAACAAATGCCTTACGGACACGAGCCCTAAGTGCTAACCATTACACCATAAAGCCATGACCCTTAGACACAGTCACCACATAAATATACATCCACGTCCACTGACATGGTTTCAGACGTGAAGCTTAACAGAAAAGTTCCTTTAACGTGTACTT